CATTTCTGTGCCTTATATTGTATCCAGACTACTGGAATTAGGGCAGTGAAAATCAATCAGCGAGGGGCTGAGGAGATGGCTCAGTGGAATAAGCACCTCCATGGCAAGCGCAAAGACCTGAGTTCAATCCCTGGGTTCGGTGAAAAAAAAAATCTATCAACGGACTGATTTTGTAATTTCCCACCCTGAATCCCAGCACTGCAACCTGAATCAGTGCTAGCGTCACACACTCTGGACGGATTCAGCGCCTCTGAAAAAGCCTCACCAATGACCTCATGAAGCCCTAGGGGGACATCTGGACACAAGCCCTAACAGGAGTCATTATACTTTAGGAAACATGGGAGTCACTTAGAATTAAATTTAGAGAGTAGGATAGGCCATGATGTTAGTGCATGCCTTCTATTTCACAAGGGAAAGTTTAAACTAGGCTTGGTGGCATATGCCCACAAGTCTCAGCTCCTCTGGAAACCAGCAGGAGGATTGCTGGAATCCGGAAGTTGCTGGATGCGTAGTGGGAGACCTTGTCTCAGAAAAAGAAAGAAAGAAAAAGAAAAAAAGTTGTCAGTATCAAAAGGAAATGTAAACAAAAGTACCAAATCTATTTCTTTGTACTCTATTAGGCATCTATTATTTATTAATATATTTATTTACTGTAGTACTGCGGATTGAATTCATGGGCTTGGATAAGCTTTCTACCCAGCCCTTTTTATTTCTGACTTTGAGATAGTTTGTTAAATTGTTGCGTTCCCAGGCTAGGCTTGACCTGGCGATCCTCCAGCTTCAGCCCCCCAGAGCGCTGTGACTGCAGGTGTGTTCCACCCCGAGCTTGGGCTCTAACTTGCAGTCCTCCTGCCTCAACTTCTCGGAGAGCTGAGATTCCAGGTGCGTGCCTCCCCAGCTGGCCGGGGTTCTCCTTTAAAGAAGTGGACATAGGAGGCAGGTTCATCACAAAGCTAATGGGTCTTAAACCTCAGGTCCCCCGCTTGCGCTGAGCCACTCCAGGGTCCCGTCAGAGCCTGCCAAGTGTTCATTCACAGCTCATTATTTTTCCTTAATAAGGGATGCTGAAGAAAAACTGAGTTTCAGGTCCAGCACACCTGCCTCGGTGATGACGACTAGTTCTGATAACACGACTTGAAACTCTTGCCTAATGAGCTCACCTCGCGGGCTTTCGTGCGACCTCGCCGTCGCCGGGCACTGAGCCGGGCCGGGGCTCTCCCTCGGCGGGCGCGGGGCAGGCGAGCGCTTGCCTCCCCGCGGCTGCCCTTTCAGCTGAACCCGCGGCAGCCGCTCCCGCCCCGGACTGCGCTCTGGGGAAGATCCTCCGCCTCGCTCTCTGCCCCTCGGCTTGGTTCTGAGCCAACGTGCTAAGTACGAAGATGAAAGAAAGAGCCTCGCTGTGCGAAGCGCAAGTAGCGCCAAGTAGCGGCGCACCCCGGGCCATCGTTAGCACCTAGACGCGCCGCGAACCTTCCCAACAGACGGCTCTCCGGAGCTGACAAGTTGCAAAATGGACTTAAGTGGATCAAGCAGAGAAACAGCGTCACTTTCCTCAGGCGGAGGCAGCTCTGAGGGAGGCTGCAGGGCTTGGCAGATCAGGAAGGGTGAGAGAAAACGGGGCGCGGCGGACCATGGCCTCAGCTTCCAGGGCCACGACCTTGCAGTCCCGCTGAATCTTTTCATTTTTATTTTTTACTTATTTTTATTTATTCTTCCTTTTTTTTTTTTTTTTTTTTCGGATTGAACTCAGGACCCTGCGCTTGCCAGGCAAGCGCTTATTCTACTGAGCATCTTCTCGGTCCCCCTTCTTTTTTTCTTTTTTAGAATTTATTTGTTTATTTACCGAAGTGGAGGCAGCCTGTTGAATCTATCGTCCTCAAGTTTCCCAGCGAGGCTCTTTCTTTCATCTTCGTACTTAGCACGTTGGCTCAGAACCTCCTTTCTTCTCTTCTTGGCTCTATAATAGCTTCTCACTGTATTCCGGAGAGAATATTCCGATCATCCTCCCCTTTCGGCCCTGCCCGGCCGCTCTCCCCGCTGGCCCGCGGCCCAAGGCTCTGCCTCTCACATCTGGCACAACCTCGATGTGAACGGCGCCCCCTGGGGGCCGCTCAGCTCTAACGCGAGAAACAAAACATTACATGAGGCCCTTTTGCGTAATCACCATTGCACGGAATTTTACAGTAAGAGGTATTTGCTTGAGTTTTGAAATTTTTATTGGATAAAATAAAATGAACTTTATTGGTATATTTTAGTATGCATAATAACACATCTCAGAGCACTCGTCCCTGTGCATATTTCTTGCTTATTTCCTCTTCCCCCACCTTTCAACCTCTTTTCCCCTTCTTTATTCACAAAAGCTTTGTTTCCATTTTTTCCTTCTAGTCTCTTTGGTTTCCTTGTCCCTTCTTTCCTTTCCCCTTCCACCTCTCTTGTTCCCCTCCCCATTTGAACATTTTCTTTCCACCTCCCAATATCTATTACACATTTTGGTTTGGCTTTTCTTTTTCTTTTTCTTTTTGAGACATGATCTCACTATGCCATTTAGGCTGGTCTTGAGCTCACTTTGTAGCCCAGGCTGGCCTCGAAATAGCAACGATCCTCCTGCCTCATTCGCCCAAGTGCTGGCATTTCAGGCTTGTGCCACCATGACCTGCATATTACACAATTTGGTTCTTATTTACACTTTCAGTTTCTCACATCAGAAAAACAGCATGATGCTTACACTTATACCTGATTTATTTCAATTTCATTTTAAGAGTATGGGCTCAAAACACACCAATTTATCTAGAAATATTTCACTTGGTCTTCTTGGTAGAGTAGTACTCCATTATATAAAACAAAACCTATATCTTCCAGATGTGATGGCACACACCTATAATCCCAGCACTCAGGAGGCTGAGGCAGGAGGATTACTGTGAGGTTGTGTTTTTGGGGGTTTTTTGGGGGGGGTTGTGTGTGTGTGTGTGTGTATGTATGCAGGGTCTCACTATGCAGCTCAGACTCATAGTGATCTTCCTGTTTTCTGCCTCCCTAGTGCTGGGATTGCAGGTGTGTGCCACCACACCCAGACTCCATTGCAAGCTCAGAGCGCCGGGGACCAGGCCAGCATGGCATGACGTGCCAGGGATCAAACCCGGGCCCCTGCACTTACCTAAGCAAGAGCTTAGTCCACTGAGCAATTTTGTCAGCCCTACTGTAGAGTTTTGATGCCAATTTGTGTAACATAATGAGTTCATGGCCAGTTTGAATCATATAGTGAGACCCTCATATCAAACAATTAGTCAATTAATTAATTAAAATAAACAATTTAAAAAACACCAAGATGTACCTCACTGTGAAGACCTGGATTCAATTTTCAGTAACAAACAAATGAGGAGAAATTTTAAAATTATTGTACAGATATTCTTTAATGATCTGCCTCATCAGCCACTGTTTAGATTTAAGACTCATGGCTTGGACATACCACCCGTCTTATGTTTTGTACAGTTCAGCACACCTCGTTTACAGTGTCTCAGTGTCTTTTGTACAATATGCCTTGTTTATACAGGTGTTTTACTGGTTGCACTGTAGTTTTGTGTTGTTACACATTGTAGTGCTGTAAGAGTTATAAAAATAAAAGCAGGGCTGGTGAGATGGCTCAGTGATCTAAAGCACCTACTTAGAACAAGCTTAGCAAAGCACAGGGACCGCAGTTCAATCCCCCAGCACCACATGCCAGCCAGCCCCGCCCCTAGGTGGGCTGAGCTGGCCACACACACACAATAAATAAATAAAAATAAAATGTATTAAAAAAAATAAAAGCAAAGTCACCAAGTTGGCATTTCCTTCTACCATGTCTCTGTCCTGAATATTCTAATGCACGTGCCATACACAATTCCCTATCCAGTGACCGATTCACTTAACAACGGAGGTGTAGGAATGGCACAGGTATGGCACTCATTGTGGTACTATGTAGCAGTGTCTGTATATTAAAGGAAAGAATTGTTTTTCTTTCTCCTTTCTGATGCTGGACATTGAGCCCAAACACTCGCACTGGCTCGGCAGGTGCTCCACCACTGAACCACACACTCAGCCCTTTTATTTTATCTTGCTAAGTTGCTGGGGTTAGTCTCAAACATGCCATCCTTCTGCCTCAGCCTCCTGAGGTGCTTGCTAAGGGAACATCCGGGCACCAGTGTGCCCAGCAGAGAATCCTGAAATAGCAAGTAGGATGGGTGCTGACTTACTCTACTACCAATAACACAAACGTTTGTCATCTGCAAAATGGATACATTTTATTGTTTGACAGTTAGAATTTGAACAGGGCATGGTAGTACACGCCTATAATCCTAGCACTCAGGAGGCTGAGGCGGGAGAATCATAGTGAGTTTGAGATCAGCCTGGACTACAAAGTAAATTCAAAGCTAACCTCAACTGCAGAGTGAGACCTTATCTCAAAAAGACAGAAAGAAAAGAGAGAGAGAGAGAGAGAGAGAGAGAGAGAGAGAGAGAGAGAGAGAGAAAGTAATTTGCGATTCCCTTGCCCCAGCCGGCCAGAATGCAGAGATTATAGGGCTGTACCACCGCACCCGGCTTCACTCAGCTCACTTTACATCCTGGATCCAGATTTCTGCTCTTTCCATACGTTGCCTCATTAAATTCCCTCATTCGCTGCTGGCAGTCTCCAGCAAGTCTTCCTTTTCCCTCCAAGATACTGTTTTCTAAAAGGAGTTGTCAGCTCTGCCAAGTTTCCTCAAACACACCTTGAGCAGAAGGTCACGGAGAGGTTCTCTTAACTCCACCACACTCCAGTCTCCTCCGGGATAGGCAAAGCCAGGAGCTCCGCTTGCACCGGCTGGCCTTGAACCCATGGAGGCGGAGGCCGCCCACTGGGCGGGGCGGGAGGCGTGCCCGGGTGACAGGAAGTGGGCGGAGACTTTCCTAGAGCACTCCTGGACCCGGGCCATTAGGGAAAAGGAATTTCCTTGTTATCAGTTCCACCTTCTGGGCTGCTCAGGATGGAGAACACGAGAGGCAAGGAGGTGAGTGAGAGCTTAGCGGGTTTGTTCCTGGTGCTGTGGGTTTTTTGTTTCTCCTCTGCACCCTTGATCTGTCTTTTGGGGAAAAAGAAAATGCTTTAGAACTCACTCTGCTTTTTAAAAAAAGTCCTAGACCAGGTTGCAGCTGGTGTCAGAGTGGGAAGATAAGGAGGGAGAAGGCTGTGGGTGTGTGGTGCGCGCCTGCAATCCCAGCACTCAAGGTTGAGGCAGGAGGATCATCGCGAGTTTAAGACCAACCCGGCTACATAGGGCGCCCAGGCCAGTCTGAACTACACAATGAAATGCTGTCCAAACTAAAAAGGAAGGGGAAGGCTCCCTGCGGGTGACAGGATGAGCCCCGTGGTTGGGTCCTTCTTTGGGTGGAGTGGTCCAGGAGTGGAGGGGAGGCGTGGGGCCGATTTTAGGATAAGCTGGTTGAGCTAGGACTGGAAAAGCATGAAACCCCACATTTCTTGAAGACAGCCGCAGGTACTGGCACCTATCTGGACCCCATCCCCAGGGCCCTGATCCCTGAGGATGCCCAGAGGCCTGGTCTGGTGACAACCGATGCCGGCCCCAGAGTTTCCTTTGTGGAGAAACCGGGCCCTGGGGCCTTTTTGCCAGATCCAGGCCATTTTCAGCTTTCTCTGTTTTCACACTTTTGTGAGGTCCCAAGGTGAGTACTTTGTGAAAAGGCTATGCAAATGTAAGTCCTGAATATAAATGTGAAGCTACTGCCGAGAGGGGAAAGGGCCATACAAATGATAATTTGTGCCAACTTCCAGCTTGGGGGCGACGGGAAAGGATGCAGCTTTGGTGGCCCAAACCTCAAGATTTAGTTTATCTCTAACGTGCTTAGGACCTGTGTGTGCTTCTTTAGTACCTCTGAACCTTCTTTAGTAATCTCTACATCATAAAAATAAAGTCACGATTGTGACATTGGCTACTGAGTGAATGAAAATAAAGAGCACGTCCTTGCCATGCCTGGGATAAGAGACAGGCTCCAAATGCATTAGTTTCTCTGTAAACAACTTACTCTCATTGTGCTGCACCTTTGTTCCTTTTCCTTTTGTTTGCTGTTTTTCTGAGAGCGGGTCTTGCTCTGCAGTTCAGCCTGGCCTCCGGCTCGGGTCTTGCACCCACCGACCTCAGCCTCCCAGTGCTGGGATTGCAGCCGCACAGCTCCACACCCAGCACTTTTAATTCTGTTAATCAGTGTTTGCTGTGTATCTACCAGGAGAGGGAAAGGAAAAAAAACTCCACCCTTGTACAGTCAAACGAGTCATAGAGACAGTGATCAAGTCCAGGAGCACAAGTAAAATCTGAGCAGATGAGTGGTGAGTGTGAGGCTACGGTAGGCTGGAGATTTGACTCTGAAAGGCTTAGGGACGGTTCCCAGATGAAGTGATACTCAAAATGAGACTGAGGAATGGGAGAATGTAAACTGAACCGGGCTTGGTGGAGCTGTAATCCCAGCCCTTGGAAGGCTGAATCAGGAGGATCTCTGCCAGTGTGAGGCAGTCGAGTGCAGTAACCTCTGGGGGCCTTAATGGTGTTTTCTTAAGATGGGTCTGGTGGGAACCAGCAGAGCCTTGACTGACCCATCCCTCTGCCCTCAGGGAGCCGGCCCAGGGAGGTCAGTGGAAGAACAAGGAGGGGACCGGCAGCCCAGCACCTCGAGAAGTTCCTCCTCCACAAAGGGGCAGAAAAGGAAAAGATGTGTGGAAAACGGCAAAGGTAAGAAGAGGTCCAAGAACCCTTTTGTCCTACCATCTGCTGTCTAAGAAGCCAAGGAATTTTTCTGAAGGACTAGACAAGCAGGGAAGCACCTTCCATCCAAAGTTATGCAAACCCATGCTTTCCTTGAGGCCCAGTTTAAACCCACCCTGCCAGGTCAGCCCGGCTGTCTGCAGTCAGTTTTGCCACTCCTGTTGCTTGGCGTTGAGGCTCCAGCCTTGTGAGTCTTTGGGGACAAACAGCCCTAAGTCTGAGATCACATACCTGTTGACAATCAACAGGCTTTTTCTTTCTTTCTTTCTTTCTTTCTTTTAAGACAAGGTCTCACTCTGAAGCTCAGGCTGGTCTTGAGCTCACTTTGTAACCCAGGCTGGTCTTGAACTCACAGTGGTCCTCTTGCCTCAGCCTCCTGAGTGCAGGTATTGTAGATGTGCACCACCACACCAGGCCATCCATGTTCTATTTTAAAAAAAATCAATGAGAATGGTGGCCCATGATGGGAAGCAGGCTGGGGGTGGGCAGAAGGTTGGCTGCAGTTTGCACTGAGTAGGTAAAACCATCACCATGTCTGCTGGGTATTACACACTCAGTAAGCCCGAGTCCTGGGTGATGGGGTGACCATCCACCCATGTCCTGTGCACCCGGTGTGTCTTCGTGTGCTCAGGGGCCTCACTGGGGCCCCACGGTAGCAGGACAAACCACGGCACACCTGACCAAGCGGCAGGCAAGGGCACAGGGGTGGCACGGGGCTGTTTGTGCAGCATCGCTGGCTGTTTATTTTGGTCCTCATTCAGACAAGACCAGTCTTAGGTCCCAGGCACCCATCTGAGCCCCAGGAGAGCAAGTAAATGCCAGCAGCATGAGCTGCAAAGGTGAAAGTGGGATTTAGAAGCCCAGGGTCTGGGATCAGACCTGCCCCCGGAGGCCCTGTGGGCCTCACAGAGCATTAACTAATGGTGAGGGTCAGATTTGAGGGCTGGGACTGAATTTCAGACTCTTAATACCCAGTGCAGACATGAATCTGTAATTCTGTCGCACTGTCCTTCTCCCTGTCCAGAGAAGAAGGAGCAAGGTCATGAAGCGCAGACTCCCCGGAAGAAGATAGCAATTCCTCCCCTCCCGGTGGAGCTGCCCCCCGTTAACCTGGTACACCGTGACGTCCTGCGAGCCTGGTGTCAGCAACTCAAGCTCAGCACTAAAGGCCAGGTGTGGCTGAGTATGGCCAGGGTGGGCAGGGCCGGGCCGGGCCGGGCCGGGCCGGGCCGGGAGCCCTGCGCTCACCCTGTCCTTCCTCTTGTCTCAGAAACTGGAAGCGTACAGGCGGCTCTGTGAATATGCCTACCCTCAGCAAAAGGTAACTCGCATTTGTTGACTCATTTGGAGACACACGCATGCACATGTGCACACACATGCACAAACCCCAGTTATTTGAGGCAGGGCTTGCTAGATTGCCCCAGTGGGACTAGAATCCCCATGCTATAGCACCTGCCTCTGGGATTACCAGTGTGTGCCAGTGCTCGCCAGAATGTTGTGTTTATTTGTGTTTTGAAAGAAAAATCCATAGGCCAAAAAAGTTGGTTTCTCACAGCTGCATGTGGTGTCACACACCTGTAATCCCAGCACTCTGGAGGCTGAGGCAGGATGATCAGTCACTTCTAATTTGAGACCCACCTGGGCTATAAAGTGAGCTCAACGCCAGCCTGAGCCACACAGTGAGACCCTATCTCAAAAAAAAAAAACCCTCAAAAAAAATAAAAAAAAAAACTTGGTTCTTACCCTAGCCACCTATTTGAACATCAAGAAGTGACCAGAGCACCAGGCACAGTGGAGCACCTGTGACCCCAGCAAACAGAGGCGGGAGGGGTCTGGGGGGCCAACCTGGGCTACAGAGAGAGACCCTAGTTAAGAAGAAAACAAACGGGCTGGTGAGATGGCTCAGTGGTCTAAAGCACCTACTTAGAACAAGCTAAGCTAAGCAAAAGCACATGGATCGGTTCAATCCCCCAGCACCACATGCCAGCCAGCCCCGCCCCCTGGTGGGCTGAACTGGCCACACACACACTAAATAAATAAATAATTTAAAAAAAAAAAAAAAGAAGAAAAACCAGCAATAAAGGCGTGGTGCTGTGACCCCGCAACCCAAGAGTTTGAGGCAGCAAGGGGCAAAGGGTGGAGGCTGGCCTGGGCAGGTTCGCCGGGCCTACCTCACAGTACAGCGATCTTTTCATTAATTCTATTAGTACGCTTTGACCTACACGATGGACACAATCACCAAAGGGAATCTACCCATGCTTGACCTATCTTTTCTTTTTCCCTCATTCTCCTCTCTTCCCTTCAATCCTTCTCCATTCTCCTTACAAAACTTTGTTTCCAGCGTTTTCCTTTTTAATTGTTTTATTTAAATTTATTCATTTTAAATAAAAATATGAGATCCAGTCTCCCTATCCCCCAACCTTCCTCCCTTGTTCTCCTTTCCACTTGACCATTTTCTTCCTCCTTCCCCTCCTGTCATCCATTTTGGTCCTTATTTACCTTTTTGATTTTTCACACAATAGAAAAAAATGTGTCAGGGGGCCAGGGAGATGGCTCAGTGGAATAAGCACTTCCTGGCAACCTGAGTTCAATCCCCGTTTCCAGGGGGGAAAAAAAAAGAAAGAAAAAGAAAAATATGTGTCACATGACTCGAGTTTTTTTTTGAGAGAGAGTCTCACTGTACAGCCCAGGCTGAACTTGAACTCACAGCGGTCCTCCTGGCTGAGTCTCCCTTGCTTGGGACTATAGCCTTGGGCTACTATGCCCAGCAAGCATATCCTTTATGTCAGTGTAGTACTCTGCTATATGTAAAAACTACATCTTACCTCTTACCCATTCATCCACTGGTGGGCTGTTTCTAAGATTTAGCTATTAAAATTTGTGCTGCTATAAACATGGGTGTGCATGTACCACTGTATTATGCTTTCAGTACTTTCTGGAAGATACCAAGAAGAGAAATAGCTGGTTTAAATGAAACCTCTAATGCCTAGTTATTGAGGAATCTCCACAGTGGTTGCACCAGTCTGCAGTGGTAGAGTAGGGCTCTGTTTGTTTTGTTTTGTTTTGTTTTGTTTTGTTTTGTTTTGTTTTGTTTTGTTTTTCCAGAACCAGGGATTGAATTCAGGCCCTTGAGCTTGCCAGGGAAGTGCTTATTCTACTGAGCCATCTCCCTGGCCCCAAAGGGCTCTGTTTTCCCCACACCCCATCCTGCATTTGTTGGTGGTTGGTTTCTTAGGCTACCCATTCTTTCTGGGGTGTGATGGACTCTCAGCTATTTCTATTTCTTCCTCTGAGAAGTATACTCATTTCAGATGCCATTATAGGACTGCATCTTTAAATTTAGGGGGAGGTCTAATTTTTTGAGTTATTTATTTTTCAAGCTAGTAGGTAGTCCTACTAACTACAATTTTTTCCCATTTCTTTTTTTAAATGTATTTAGTACAGGATCTATAGGGTCTCACTACACAGATAGGACTCCTAGTGATCCTCCTGTTTTCAGCCTCCCAAGCACTGGGATTATAGGGGTGTGCAATCATGCCCAGTCTCAGTCGCCCTCTCAAGGCACCCCAGGGGCAGGTCTGCCACATCACGCTGTGCCATGCTGTCCCCTGCTCTCTGCCTAAGTAGGCACTTTAATCCGCTGAGCTATTTGGCCGGCCCATGTTTTATTGTCTTAAATCACAGCTCTCTAGCATAATTTCAAGTTGGAGTAAGAGTGCCATTTTGAGCAAGAGCTGAGCCTCAGTGGTGGGGCAGCTACCACTGAGCCACACTTAGGAGCACGATGCACTAGGTTCACTCCCCAGAAAGAAACCAGGAAGCCAGGCATGCTGCACACTTGCAGTCCTAGCAGTCTAGAGGCTGACAAGGGAGGAGTGCCACAATTTTAAGGCCAGCCTAGGATACATAGTGAGCTCATGACCACCCTGAACTACATAGTTCAGTGAGACGCTATGTCCAAAGGCAAAAATATAAGTAGAGAAACTTTCATTCTCTCCCTCCTCGATCCCAAGTACTTATCCTCTCCCCTACACACACACACACACACACACACACACCAGTGGTGAAGCCCACGTGCGCCCTACCCTGACCTGCATACATAAGGCTTTCCCTTTTGCACCAGGGCTTTACCAAGTTTCCAAGGTAGGACTCAAACCTGCTCAGCCTTCCTCCACGGGCCGGCAAGCTCAATTTAGGCATAACTCTGAGAAAAAAACAGCTGCAGCACTACACACTTTTCCTTTGTTCCTTTGTGGTTCATTTCAGCAGTACTAGGAAATGGACACAGGGTCCTTGCCCTGACCTACATTCCTACCCCTTTTGTTCTGAGACCAGGTCTTGGCTCCATATTGCTCAAGCTCATCTCAAACTTTTGATTCTCCTGCCTCAGTCTCCCAGTGTGCAGGTATTACAGGGCTGTACTCTTTTAAAATACTTATTAGATGCAGCATATTGGTATGAAGTATGTGTACATTGTGGAGGGCTCTAAATGAGCTAGTTAGCATGTGCTTTTCCCTTTCATAATTTTTATGCTTAGAACACTTAAAAATTTACTAATAAATTAGGTGTGGTAGCACACGCCTGTAATCCCAGCAATCCCAGCATGGGGAGGCTAAGGCAGGAGGATCACTGAGTTTGAGACCAGCCTGAACTACACAGTGAGGTCTTCTTTCAAAAAAATATCTATTGGTAAATTTAAGAAATATGAGACATTTTTCATAACTGTTGTTACCATACAAGAGACAAGTATGTGTGGGTGGTGGTGGGCCTTGAACCCGCAGCCTTGGCGCTAAGCTGCACATCCAGGTCTCTTAAAATTTTGAACGAGGTCTTGCTAAATTGGCTAACTGCTCAGGCTGGATTTGAACAACTTCATATCCTTTCTCAAATACCCTAATCTCTCAGGCCATACTTCTGCAGTGGCCTTAATAAATGTTTTTAATTTTTGCTTTTTGAGTTGTTTGAGATAGGAACTCACTACGTAGCCCCTTGATCTGGCAGAGATCCTGCTGCTTTAGCCTTCCTGAGTGCTGAGATTATAGGCGTGCACTACCTTGCCCTGCAGGTTGGATTTGGATTTGAATTTGGGATCCTCCTGCCTCACCTTCCCTCATTGCTAGAATGGCGAGGGTGTGCCTGCCCACTGTTATCAGGTTATCCTAATGTCCAGCCCTATTTGCAGAATATTCCTAGCACACCCAAGGAGGCCAGGTACCAGGCGTCAGGGAGACAGAGGAAGAGGTCCCTGGAAAGTCCAGAGGGAAGGATGTCTTCAACAGGACCCAACCTTTCTGAGGTGGCCCTGGACCCTGAGAGGCAGCTGGCTGCCCTGGAAGAGCCGCCTGCTCTCTATGAAGAGGTCAGCACGAGTGTGATGACTGTGGCCACTCCTGAGTCCGTGCTGGCCTCCTGGGGCCGAATTGCAGCTGGTGCCGGGAGGACAGGGACAGAAGAGCCACCAGCAGAGGCCTGCGGTGAGTCCCATGCAACAGTCTGCCGACCTGAGGGATAACTCTGACTGATATGGGCCTCAAATTGTTTTGCTTTGCTTTGCAGTACTGAGGATGGAAGCTGGGGCTTCCCAGGCTTTGCATTGTACTACAGCCCTGGTCTTTTGCTTTTAAGACAGGTTCTCCCTAAATCTCTAAATTACCTAAGCCAGACTTGAACTTGCAACCCTCCTGCTTCAGCCACTCTGAGACCCCTGATATACAGTGACACTTCTGTTCATGAGTGTGACTTTTTCCAGGATTCTGGTTACACACTGAGTTGAAGGAGAACCAAATCAAGTTTTTTGGGTTCAATCAGTATTGACTTTATTGGGAAATGTGATAATTTGGTTCTCATCCAAATCATGTCATGGACTGGTGATCCTAGACACCACTGGTAAATTTTTTTTTGTGACTCAGATCTGGGACAGGGCCTGAGAATTCGTTTTTGTGCTAATTTCCCAGGCAGTCCTGAAGATTCTGGTCCAAGGAGAATATTTTGAGAATTCTGCTTAAACTGTTGGTGGCATCAGAAGAGACAGCGATGTATTTGGCTTTATTTCTCTCCTTTAAGGAAATAAAAGGACATAAGAACAAGGTTGAGGGGGCCAGGGAGATGGCTCAGTAGAATAAGAGCTTGGCTGGCAAGCGCAAGGGCCTGAGTTCAATCCCCGGTTCTGAAAAAAAAAATAATAAGAACAAGGTTGAGGGGCCAGGGAGATGGTTCAGTAGAATAAGCGCTTCTCTGGCAAGCACATGGACCTGAGTTCAATCCCCAGTTCCACCAAAAAAAAAAAAAAAAAAGAACAAGGTTGAAGTCAACTGTCAGAGCCTGGCATGGTGGCACATGTATGTAATCCCAGCACTCAGGAGGCTGAGGCAGGAGGATAGATGTAAGTTCTAGGCCATCCTGGACTATGTAGCAAGACCTTGTCTCCAAAAGATTAAAAAAAAAAAAGATTTAGTCCTGGATCTCCTGGCATTGAGTGATATCAAATTCTTTAAAGGCAGTCTCTGGTTTCCTCATCCTAAAATGGATTAATAATACAAAACTCGTGGGTGGGCATTATGGCAAACACCGTGAAAGAAGACCAGGAACTAGGTGCCCGGCTAGCTCAGTCGGTAGAGCATGAGAAGACCAGGAACCGCCTTGCTCCTGCCGTGTCCTTGGGAGCTGAGACCTTGGAATCTACTGCTGAGAGGCATCCAAACGAATGCTATTGCTGTTTATGGTTTGGTTTGGTTTCTGTGGCAATGTGTATGGCACTGAGGCTTTCTAACCTGCTAGGCAGGCACTCTACCCCTGCGGTAATCAGCCCCATCCTTTAGCCCTTTAAACGCCATCTGGAACTGTTGGTCAAATTTCCCTGAAGAGCAGCAGGCCCGGGGGGTTGGCACCCGAGAGCAGCAACCGGCCCCTGAGGTCTTGGGCCTGGGTGTGCAGTCCTGGGAATTTGTCCCAAGCGTCTGTCCTTTTCTAGGTGACAAGTGGTGCGTGGTTCATGGGCGCAGTCTCCCTGCAGTCACCCGGGGCTGGGTGCGGCTGCAATTCCATGCAGGACAGGCCTGGGTGCCTGAGAAGAAGGGGCGCGTGAGTGCCCTGTTTCTGCTGCCCGCCGGCGCCTTCCCACCACCCCACCTGGAGGACAACCTACTGTGCCCCATCTGCGTCAGAAGGTGACTAACTCCTGGAGAGGGGGAGGGGGAGGCAGTAATGTGAATTACCAACTGTCACCAGCACACTTCATCAGGTACATGTTGGGGCCTAAGGTCATACCTGGAAGCAGCAAGCACTGTTGTTCTAGAGCAACAAGCACTGTGTGGTTTCTAGATTCAAGGTACATGCACTACACGGAAACAATGGCCAGCCCAAATCCCCCTCCTTTCAGTAGTCTGCAGCCTAATGGAGGTGGGCTGGCAGGTGCATGACTGGCACCATCCCAGCGCTCGGGGAGGCCGAGGCAGGAGGATCACTGCGAGTGAGGCCAGCCTGCACTAGAGGTAGAGGTTAGCAGCAGCATGCTGCCTGGCATGTATAAGGCCCGGGGTTCAATTCCTAGCACTGGGGGCAAAAAATAGGGATAAGCCTAGAATATGAAGTCACTGGAAAGAATTTTCATGAAGGACTTGCCTAAAACTATTTAAGTGAAGCTAAAGAAGTACAAACACTACACTTGCTTAAGCCTGGCTTGGTGGTGGCACATGCCTGTCATCCTGTAGTGAGACCCTGTCTGTCTGTCCTTTTGTTCTATCCATAGATAGATATTTACTTAGATATCAGGAGAGATTCAAAACAGTAAAGGATGTAGATAATTCGATGCTGGAGGGCCGGGGAGATGGCTCAGTAGAGTAAGTGCTTGCCTGGCAAGCACAAGGGCCTGAGTTCAATCCCTAGTTCCACCAAAAAAAAAAAAAAAAAAGAGGATAATTTGATGCTGCTTGAATAGTATGGAAGAGTATAATGGGAGCTACTTTCTGAAAGTATAAATAGAGAAGTCAAGCAGTAAGTAAGAGCTTGGCTGGCAAGCGCAAGGGCCTGAGTTCAATCCCTAGTTCCACCAAAAAAAAAAAAAAAAAAGAGGATAATTTGATGCTGCTTGAATAGTATGGAAGAGTATAATGGGAGCTACTTTCTGAAAGTATAAATAGAGAAGTCAAGCAGTAAGACTTGTTTTTTCGTATTTTGTTTGTTTGTTTTCATGGTACCAGGATTGAACTCAGGACACTGCACTTGCCAGGCAAGCACTTATTCTACTGAGCTATCTCCCCGGCCCAAGGCTTATTTTTTTAATCAGAGCCTCCCTAGGTAACCTAGCCCAGGCTGGGTTCAAACTCATGGTCCTCCCGCCTTGGCCTCTAAGAACTGATCACAGCCGTGGTCCGCCTTGACTGGCTGGTGCTTTGTGATCCTTTGTAGTGCTGGTCAGAGCATCATGTACACTCTAGGCCAGGGATGTACTGATGAACTACATCTGCAGCCCCCCCTCTTTATTTTGAAACATTTTAACTAGGTTGCCCAGGCCAGACTAGAATCCTACATCAGCCTTCCACATAGCTAACATTATGCTTGTGTGCTATTGCACCCGACTTTTTTTGGGGGGTGGGGCTGGTAGTTAGGATTCAATCCAGAGAGATCTTCCATTAAACTTTATACCCAGGGCTGGTGAGATGGCTCATTGGTCTAAAGCACCTACTTGGAACAAGCTTGGCAAAGCACAGGGACCGCGTTTCGATCCCCCAGCACCACATGCCAGCCAGCCCTGCCCCCTGGTGGGCTGAGCTGGCCACACACACACACACA